GCGACAACGCATGTTTTGGCGTGAAAACTGTGAAAGGCTGACCTCGAGACATTTTTTGGAGTCCAGTCCAGTCCTCAGGCCCCCTCCAGTGACAAGTTAGCTAAGCCTATCTGATGATATATCGCCCATACATGCTGGTTGGCCTGGTTGAACCAACTTAACTTACCCATCCTTTGGGGGGCCCTTCCAAACGTGCGTAAAAACAACAGCAGCCTTAGCTGGATCCATGTCCTTCTTTGGACACATGAAAACAGACACGGCGCTGCCATCGCTTTTCTTTTGACCTCAACGATCAGCGAAACATCACAGAATTTCAAGAGTTTACCTCAGAATGTGGGAAACACTGTGGGTTTGGAGGTCCATGATTTTGAGATATTTTGAGTCTGAATTTCAGAACATGACCATTCCACAAAGCTCAATCAAGAGTAGCAGCTCAGCAATGACAAAAGAACTGCAGCTGCCTTTGTGAAGCAACATGCATAGATTGATGATGGTTTCCTTTAAAATTGTCGTCCGTTTCTGAGCACACTCATACACAAAACTTGAGAGGGGGGGGACGAAAGGTAGGGGGGGGCAAAAGAGAGCAACAGGAAAAATATTGCCAAACTGAGATTGATACTTCTCTTCACTCAAACCTCCTGCAGAAGAAAATGTTAGCCCCCAAAAAAGCTTTGTGGGAATAGAATCAGAAACATAATGTCAAATGTAAAGTAACTTCACGCGCGCGCGCGCGTGAACCATCCTGCATGCAGGTGCTTCTCCGCGCGCGCGCGCGCGCGCGCGCGAGCGCACGCATGTGCGGGACGTAAACATTGCGAGTCTCTATTCCCCGGCACGGCCTCAATGGGACTAGAACATCCACGATAGATCGATAGATCAATACATCGATAGATAGATAGATAGATAGATAGATAACTATAAATAAATAAATAAATAGATGAATAAATAGATAGAGAGATAGAAGCATCGATCGATAAATAGATAGATCGATGGCTACCTTGATCGATAAACAGATAGATAAATAGATAGATCAATAGGTAGATAGATAGATAGATAGATAGATAGATCCAAGGATAGATAGATAAATACATACATAGATGGACAACTAGATAGATAGATATATCGATAGATAGATGGATAAGGAGGTAGGTACAGAGTCAGAGAAAAAGAGAGAGAAAAAAATGCGGACCAGGGGGGAATCGAATGGGGGGGGGAGGGGGGGGCCCCCCCCCCCTAAGTCTCCGTTCGTGACTCTCGGCTTTCAATTTCCGGGAAAGGAGCAGCCACCTCCCCCAGTACTAAACTAGTACTAAAGTACATAGAACTCAGGTAGCCTAGGCTACCTTTCGTGATATGTGGATGCCAGGGCCCTAAATTCTGAGTGTGCGAAAGACATCCAGGCAGATTATGGCATCGATTATGTTATATATATATATACACACATATATATATATATGTGGCATATTGCCAAGAAATTGCCAACGTAAGCTAATGTGTTCATATAATTCAGAAAGGCTCTGTGCAACAAACCCTTTGGTAAATTCCAAACTCTATGCAACTGCTCCATGCAACAGCCCAATGCTAAGCCAAGGGCATATGCTATCAGCACTGCAGCACCCCACATGTCAATGCCTGGCTCACTGGGCAATAGCAGCTCAGTGCTCTAGGGCCTACAACCCTTGGCTCAATCACACATTCATAAGGCGCAAAGTCTCAGTCTCCTCCAGAAGCCAAATCCAACCTCCCTGCTCCTTCTTCTATCAATGAACACTAAAAACTTAAGGGATTTAAGGGGGGAAAAAAATGATTGTTAATCATTTCAAATCATCATATTTCCCACCAAAATTCTTCGCCATTTTCACACACCCTGTCCCGTTTGTGCCTATGGAAGGGATGCCACCCTCCTGCAACGCTGCTGGAGGCTCCGGCCACCTCACAGTGCCAAGGTGAAGCAGTGAATGTGGATTCATCAGATATGGTGTAAATTGATGGAATATTATCATAGATGGTGAAGAAGATATTACCATATAAAAAAAATGGATATTTAATCATCGATGTGATGAATGGGATAGTTCATGCATCATAGATCGAGTTATTCCATTATTTAACCACCATGTATGGAATGAATTATGTGACCACGTTTAATCATGGATTATGAAATTGACGGGATGTAATAATCCAGGATTTAAAAATGTGATATCCTGATTTTTCCAGATTTAATCACCTCCATGAGGGGATCCCCAAGTCACCATGGGTTACAATACTAATTCGTTGTCTAATGACTTCGATGATACCCCCATGACTTAGGACACCTCCGTATTAAAAACAATGTGATGGTGAAATGACATTATGGAGGTTTTAGATGGTTTTACCGTTAGAAATAGAGATTGAATGGAATTCCATCATTTTCATGGCATCTTCAATGTGATATTTGGGTGCGGAACATGGGAATACCAGCAGTTTCATCAAGCCCGGCACCCTGAACATGTTGGCCCAACCCGGCGCCGCGAGGCAATCGCGGTGCCTCAGCCACTTTCGCAGGAAGTGGGTGAGCCTTTGACAGTTGGTTGGTTCGCTAAAGTTAGTTAAGGTTGGCTAAGGTTAGTTCAGGTTAGCTAAGGTTAGTTAAGGCCAGTTGATGTATCCAGGAACAATGGGGGTGACAGTTCCATGAAAATTTGGTGCCTTCGCCATCCCCCATTTTTTTATAAAGAATCCCCTTCCCAAAACATACTCAAATCAGACTTTCCATGGGCGACGAAAGCACCTTAAAGTTTGACCAGAAAAAGAACGTTTCTGGGAAACATGTTTGATAAGTTTGCATTACACGGTGAATTCCAGTCGTATCTATCTACCTATCTATCTATCTATCTACCTATCTATCTATCTATCTATCGATCTATTCGCAGTGTTCAAAACCAGATCCTTGGCTGGAAGCATGCAACAGGAAGAACAATTTATGGCATCCGATTTGGTACCACTGACTTTTCATCCTCTATCTATGTATCTATCTATCTATCTATCTAGCTAGCTAGCTAGCTATCTAGCTATCTAGCTATCGAGCTATCGAGCTATCGAGCTATCGAGCTATCGAGCTATCGAGCTATCGAGCTATCTATCTTGCTATCTAGCTATCTAGCTATCTTGCCATCTAGCTATCTATCTATCTATCTATCTATCTATCTATCTATCTATCTATCGATTTATCTATCCTATCTAGTTGTCTATCTATCCGTCTATCTATCTAGCCTATGAAAAACGGTTACAAACCATACTTATGTCTACTTATCATTTGCTCAACCCTCTAAATTAATACTTGCTCATGGTTAAATAATGTCAACTAACTGGATAGTAAGTTGAGTAAGTTCTTATATGTCTATCTATCTGTCTGTCTATCTATCTATCTACCTATCTCGCTATCTGTCTATCGATCTATCCATCTACCTAACTATTTACCTATCTATTTACTATCTATCTAGCTATCTATCTAACTACCTGTTTATCTATCTAGCTATCTATCTCTCTAGCTATCTATCTAGCTAGCTATCTATCTATCTATCTATCTAGCTATCTGGTACCACTAACTTTCCTGAATTCTGGTGATTTAAAATGGATCTCATGACGATCCTTGGAAGGACAATTTATGGCATCCGATTTGGTACCACTGACTTTTCATCCTCTATCGATGTCTCTATGTTTCTATCTATCTATCTATCTACCTACCTACCTATCTATCTATCTATCGATCTATCTATCTATCTATCTCTCTATCTATCTATCTATCTATCTATCTATCTATCTATCTATCTATCTATCTATCTATTTCCCTATCACATGTATATAATCCAGTCAGTTGGTCCATGTTTTCACAGTGTTCAATACCAGGTCTATGGATTCCACTAACGGATTGTAATGCTATTGGTATAATCCCCGTTCTAACATGATCCAACCATCAACCACGGCTAGATTTGACTGGGAAAACCAACAAGTCGAGGCGCCACGCTGTCAATCTCGCTGTGGTTCCGGGTCACGAGCACGCGGTGCACGCTGCAGCCCGAGACACAGTATCTGCTCTGGTCTCATAGCCATAGCCCTGCGAAACAGGCATCGATCTATTTCCCCTCAAAATGTCTCCTTTTCGAAGGGCTCACTATTCTTCAGCCGCAAATGAAGCAAAATGTGTGGTTCACAACTAACTTAAAGGCTTGATACAGGTACTGATGAGGAAATAGACAGACCTTTGCATAAAGGCTCAAGCCAGTGACTTTGTGTTGGAAATGGGCCAGTCACTTCAATATCATACACTTCCGGCACCAGGATGTTGGCTGGTCAAAATTCCAACCATCCGACAAAGAAAAGAAAATCAGCTCGCATCATCCCATGTGTAAGGATGAACTGTCCTTTTCACACGTTTGACCCTCTCATGTCTTCCTTCTCATGTCTGGCTCAGCTGTCCTTTTCAAAGTCATGTTGCCATGTTCTTCCGCATTGAATCTTTGCCCATTTTAAGGTAATAGCAACCGTGATGAAAAAAGGGATAGAAGTACTACATCCCGCTTGCTGAACGCAACTGTAGATGATCTGATTTTATCTGCCACCGCTGCAGCGCATTCGTCGCACTTGCACTAGTGCTGAGATCGGATCAACCTCTGTACAAATATTCTCGAGTCCCACCAGCAAAAGTCTACTTCCGACTCCTTTGCAGGCACCAAGAGTCAGCATAGGATCCTGCGATCTGTCAGAATGATCCAAAAGTCACGGCCACGAACCCTGATCAAAAGGGGAAAGGTGCCAAAGACACAGCCCTGTACAATGCTGAACAGTTGATTGGTCAGCGGAATGTCAAAGGATCGAAATGCCCTTCAGCCACAACCAGCTTCCCAGCAATAACAGCTGTTGCCTCACGAATTCACACAGACTCGCAGCTTCAACAGGCCCGGCTCAACTGATATACAGTGTCGTCACAGGATCTTCTGGCTTAGTCACTGCCGGCTGCCAACTCACTTCCTGCCCTCGTCCTCGTCATTCTCTCCGCAGGCACTGTTGTCCATAACCGAGCTTTGCGCAGAGCCCAGATGAGATGCTTGAACCCGCACACCTACAGCTAGCGACGAAAGCTACATTTTCTCCTGCACTCTTGTCAAAAACCCCCTCAAACCACAAACTTCCCGTTCGACTCATGAGTACAACTACATAACAAATTCAAAGCACAACTCACTGCATTGCAGGCATCAAAACCATTGCCAATCCAACACAACCATTGACCACACACTCCCCTACAGTATGGCCAAGCTGCTTGTAGCAAAAGCCTCACTCAAATGGCCTACCACCTGCCGGCGCTTGCTCTGTTTGCCTCCAGAACCAAATGCTTCGAACAGACGCTCCGCGAAGTGAGCTGCGCGGGAGAGCGATTTCGCTTTGCGTTTTGTTTCTCCTCGCACCTGCTCAGCCCCATGATTCTCTTCGACATCAAAACAGAAGGCCAGTTCAACCAACCCACACTCATTCAATGCCAAATCTAATGAACTCTGACTCTCCTTCTGGGATAAACTCCAACTCAAACCGACCAGCAGCCTACCAGATCACCTTCACCCAATCCAGCCTGTGAACCCAAACAGGATACCATAATTTCATTACTACTTTCCATTCAGATGAACATGCACCCCCCTACATTCCAGACTCCCAGTTCCACCAATCTACACTTCCAATCCTTCTCACTCTCCCTCCCACATGCGCACAGGCCTCCTTTTCCTTATCCAGATCTCCTGTCTCCATCTGCTGCACCCGTCCAAGCTTCGCCACTGCCCCCAAAAAAACTTCATAATCCTTCCTGGAGGCCAACAAGTCTGCTCGGACACCGCCACCATTCTGCAACGCGATACAGCGCAACAAACGGCATCCTTCAGGCCTCAGCCGCTAATTTCACAACCCTACAAGACACTGTGATACGATTCCCTACTGAAACATGCTGCATGGAACCCTACCCCACTATTTGCACCCAAGCCACACATATGGTCCCAGAGCTTTCCTGGCACCATCCCGCCCTTCCATATACTTTGGCACATGCAAGCGCACATAGAACATATGCACCAGCTGCTTCGAATCACCCTCGGCCGGTGGCATAGCAACATCCTGGCTTCCATTTGCAACACCCGGCCCACCTTGCGCACCTTGCGCACTTGGTTTCGCAGCCGCCCCACCATCGTCAATCTCTCCAAGATTGAAGTGCGCTTCCAGGATCGTGCCAGTGCTCTGACTATTCACCTCCGCCACCCAACGACCATCGTTGCCCTCGTCGACCTCAATGCTACACTTGCATCCCAATCTCCCTAGTGCTGATTGAAGAACTTCAACAGCTCCATCCTTCCATGCTCTCTGCAGACTCTCATCTGCCTTCTCCTTCAACTGGAGCAATGCTACCTTCATTGTCGGCACGGCAACCTTTGGTCCCAGAACTGCAAGCCAAATGCTGCTCCGATCACCCTGACATATGATACATGGAGCCAAGAACAACCCCTCAAACATGCCAAAACCAGGTCAATAATCCCCTCAGAATGGTTGTCTGAATCTTCCTGACACATGACCAAACCTGGATGCACTGAAGTATCATCACTATACAGGAATACATTGTTTGCACCATGTGGTGCCTTTCAGCGCAAAAGGCGTCTTGGAGAAGTGTGCAGCGTAGTTCTGCCCCAAGACATCTTTGCCTCGATCCTGGATACAACGTGACACTAGGATGTGTGCTTTCCCGGGTTTCACATAAACCATCTACTCTCTAGTGAACGAACAAACGTGTTAACTACGGACGATGGACACTTTGTGAAACGGATTTCCTAGCACTTCTGCAAACATGCAGGGCGTGCTGCCATGAACACATCTCTGTCACTCCGAAGTGCCTCTCAGCCGCAGCTGGACATTTATCATCTGGCTTCGAATGAAGCGCTTTGGCTGTAACAAGAAGATGGTGTATGAGGAGTCCGCATGTGGTTCCCACAGATTGAAATGATCATCACTAGCAGCCATCTTTGCTCTAGAAAACGAGCACCCCTGATTTGGACGCACCTGGAATGTTGAAAATGAACTTCAGATCCCCAAACAAGTAATTCAATTTTGCCTCATTTCCGTGTGTTTTCGACCCCCTTTCCGCTGCACATCCACCTGGAGTGAGGATGTCTGTGACATTAAAACTGCATAGGCTGCATTCTGCTCTGCCACCAGGCACTTTGAGTGTGTCATGGCGGGGGGGCATCTCAACTATCTAGCTATCTAGCTATCGAGCTATCGAGCTATCGAGCTATCGAGCTATCTATCTTGCTATCTAGCTATCTAGCTATCTTGCTATCTTGCTATCTAGCTATCTATCTATCTATCTATCTATTTATCTATCCTATCTAGTATCTATCTATCCGTCTATCTATCCAGCCTATAACAAACGGTTACAAACCATACTTATGTCTACTTATCATTTGCTCAATCCTCTAAATTAATATTTGCTCATGGTTACATAATGTCAACTAACTGGATAGCAGGTTGAGTAAGTTCTTATACGTCTATCTATCTGTCTATCTATCTATCTATCTATCTAGCTATCTGTCTATGGATCTATCCATCTACCTAACTATTTACCTATCTATTTACTATCTATCTATCTAGCTATCTATCTAGCTACCTGTTTATCTATCTAGCTAGCTATCTCTCTAGCTATCTATCTAACTAGCTATCTATCTATCTATCTAGCTATCTGGTACCACTAACTTTCCTGAATTCTGGTGATTTAAAATGGATCTCATGACGATCCTTGGAAGGACAATTTATGGCATCCGATTTGGTACCACTAACTTTTCATCCTTTATCGATGTCTCTATGTATCTAATCTATCTATCTATCTATCTAGCTATCTGGTACCACTAACTTTCCTGAATTCTGGTGATTTAAAATGGATCTCATGACGATCCTTGGAAGGACAATTTATGGCATCCGATTTGGTACCACTAACTTTTCATCCTTTATCGATGTCTCTATGTATCTATGTATCTATCTATCTTTCTTTCTAGCTATCTATCTATCTATCTATCTGGGGTTTCCTACTAAAATGGGGGATCCCCAAAACCATGGCTTTCAGTACTAAAATGGTCTAATTTGAGATGATTTGGGGTAGCCCCCATTCCAGGAAACCTTCATAAGGACTTAGGGACTTAGGGGGGGGATTGCCGCCTGGCGCTTCTTCACGACCGCCGACAGACCCTCCAGCAGCTGTGGCAGTCCTGGCCAGCCGGGCCGGGAGTTGTTGTCCAGCCTCGAGGATGAACATGAAGACGATGGTCAGATCACAAAATTACCTTGAGATCAGCTGAGATACATTGAAATATCATTGAAATATCATAGATGAATTGATTCTGATTGATTCATTGAGTCATAATTTTGACTTATGGAGTTTTCATTGGCTTATTGGAGGGGTGGATTTAGCATCTTGAAAGTTGGAACTTCCCATTACTAGCGATAGAAAGAAACGAAGAGCCGGCCAACACTTCCAAAACGAGGAAATTTGTGTCAAAGAATAGATGGAACAACTTGTGCCAGTCTTATTCATATCAGCCTTGGCTATTTATATGCAATGCAATCATTGTACAGTACAATGTATCCCTATTATTGCTGATCATTCAAAACTTGATTTGCCATGTGAAGCTGATGGAGTGCGACACCCAAAACAACGGCTGAAGCTACCGGTCCTTCGAACCAGGTCTCTTTCTCTTCAGGGGACCTGGGACGACGAAGAGGTTGGAGCTATTCCAACTCGTTGAGCGGCAGGAAATGTTGGTAAATAGATGTTTAGTGACGTTTAAATCCTAGTCTTTGTCTATCACCACCATTGTTCCTGGCTCATGTGCATTTAAATATGGTGAAATGCTGCAGTGATAGCAAAACTGACTGGTCAGAATCCACTGATCCAGATCTCGATCCCGGACTTCAGCTGCAAGTTGGCCAGGAATGAAAAAACCTGCAGCTCACGAAGGCTTCAACGAAGCTGACAAATGGGTAAGAAAAACCAACAAAAACAATGGAGAAGTAAAATCCTACTCAGTCAGTGGTAAATTGCTTCTCTATCTTTTTTCGGGGGTGCTGCAATTATAGATATCACAGGGATGCTTAGCAACAAACAAAATGGGAACTTCAACCAACAATAATCTGGCTGAAAGTTTGAATCAATGCATGAGGAGAAAAGGTGATATGATATGATATTATTCAACCAAATCAGGACAATCATGATAGATCGTGATAGATCATGATAGATAGATTCTCAAAGAAGATGTTTGAAACCATCAACTAGCTATAATTAACCGATACTGATAAGTGGATGTTACTTGGACTGCAACAGGCACTGCCTGTTAGGCACCATCAAGCTGAGACCACATTTAGGGTGTTTGCACTGCACATTTTGTTTCCAAAGTACTGCCCTGTTTTTTGTTCACGAGGTCACTTAGAGCCCCAAGCTTCCTATGGATCAAAATTGACAATGCCATGAAGCTATCTTGCTTGCTATCTATCTATCTATTTATCTATCTATCTATCTATCTATCTATCGATTTATCTATCCTATCTAGTTGTCTATCTATCCGTCTATCTATCTAGCCTATTATAAACGGCTACGAACCATACTTATGTCTACTTATCATTTGCTCAATCCTCTAAATTAATACTTGCTCATAGTTAAATAATGTCAACTCACTGGATAGTAAGTTGAGTAAGTTCTTATATGTCTATCTATCTGTCTATCTATCTATCTACCTATCTAGCTATCTGTCTATCGATCTATCCATCTACCTAACTATTTACCTATCTATTTACTATCTATCTATCTAGCTATCTATCTAGCTACCTGTTTATCTATCTAGCTATTAAGATCTTATACGTCTATCTATCTGTCTATCTATCTATCTATCTAGCTATCTGTCTATGGATCTATCCATCTACCTAACTATTTACCTATCTGTTTACTATCTATCTATCTAGCTATCTATCTAGCTACCTGTTTCTCTATCTAGCTAGCTATCTCTCTAGCTATCTATCTAACTAGCTATCTATCTATCTATCTATCTAGCTATCTGGTACCACTAACTTTCCTGAATTCTGGTGATTTAAACTGGATCTCATGACGATCCTTGGAAGGACAATTTATGGCATCCGATTTGGTACCACCGGCTTTTCATCCTTTACCGATGTCTCTATGTATCTATGTATCTATGTATCTATGTATCTATCTATCTATCTATCTATCTATCTATCTATCTATCTATCTATCTATCTATCTGGGGTTTCCTACTAAAATGGGGGATCCCCAAAACCATGGCTTTCAGTACTAAAATGGTCTAATTTGAGATGATTTGGGGTAGCCCCCATTCCAGGAAACCTTCATAAGGACTTAGGGACTTAGGGGGGGATTGCCGCCTGGCGCTTCTTCACGACCGCCGACAGACCCTCCAGCAGCTGTGGCAGTCCTGGCCAGCCGGGCCGGGAGTTGTTGTCCAGCCTCGAGGATGAACATGAAGACCATGGTCAGATCACAAAATTACCTTGAGATCAGTTGAGATACATTGAAATATCATTGAAATATCATAGATGAATTGATTCTGATTGATTCATTGAGTCATAATTTTGACTTATGGAGTTTTCATTGGCTTATTGGAGGGGTGGATTTAGCATCTTGAAAGTTGGAACTTCCTATTACTAGCGATAGAAAGAAACGAAGAGCCGGCCAACACTTCCAAAACGAGGAAATTTGTGTCAAAGAATAGATGGAACAACTTGTGCCAGTCTTATTCATATCAGCCTTGGCTATTTATATGCAATGCAATGATTGTACAGTACAATGTATCCCTATTATTGCTGATCATTCAAAACTTGATTTGCCATGTGAAGCTGATGGAGTGCGACACCCAAAACAACGGCTGAAGCTACCGGTCCTTCGAACCAGGTCTCTTTCTCTTCAGGGGACCTGGGACGACGAAGAGGTTGGAGCTATTGCAACTCGTTGAGCGGCAGGAAATGTTGGTAAATAGATGTTTAGTGACGTTTAAATCCTAGTCTTTGTCTATCACCACCATTGTTCCTGGCTCATGTGC